ATGCCTGGATATGAGTTATCTTCCGCGGACCGATTAGTAATCGACAAAAAAAATTTATGCCCTAAATGTGAGGGCCTTCTTAGAGAAGCTATGCAAACAATAGCATGTGGTCATACGTACTGCAAGTCATGCGTGGAAACGATTCTTTGGTAAGTACGTCGTGTACGTCGTCATTGTCCTAGACAGCTGAAATATCCTTAGCCTACCTCTTAAAGTAAGTAGTTAACCGTAGACAAAAGCTGATAAATGACTGGTATAATGCAAAAAGCTACGATCGCTGTCGATAGCTGCGTGGCTAATGTGGTGCAGATAAATGGTAACTGTACTTCAAGCCCCTGGTTGTTCAAAAAGGTGGATAATGCTATCCACTGGATAAATCACTTTCCAGTGGAGAAAGCATTAAGTTTCTCTAATACTTATCCAGTGGACAGTGATCTATCCGGTGGATAGCGTTATCCAACGTTTGATGAACTGGGACAGATGATAATAAATTTACTACAGTTAACTGGCAAACAAAAATCAGATAAATACCCAATAATCATGTATTCTTCGTATTACTGGTTGATACACATTGATCCCTGTCCCTAAATTTACAGGCAAGAAGTTGGAAAGTGCATCATCGATGGATCAGATATTCATAGAGAACAGGTTTGCCTTTTTTTTCGATTAAGAGATTTATCGTTAGTGAAACCTTCTGAATACATTCTATAGCCTGGATCCAAACAGGCGCTCTATGAGCCAAGCGAGACGAAAGCCGCCTTTCTTGTGCGGTTATTTTAGGGTCTGTTTACATGGAGGTGCGGGACCCCAGATAGGTGAGGTAACACGTGGCGGGTCACCCCACCTATAGCGTAAACGTGATAAAATTAATATGAGAGATTATATAGACAGGCGGGTTACCCCACCTACCTGGGGTCCCCCACCTCCATGTAAACAGTCCCTTAGTCAGAGAGTCTTAGTACGTATACCTTTTATCGCGCGCCACCCGGTTCCGTGATGCTGCATCCTCATGCATCACGCTCACCCCCTCCCCCCTCCCCCCTCCCCCCGGCCCATTTTGATCCATTTCGATTATCTCGGTTGGAAGAGCGTTTGAATTCTGAGTGGGAGGCCCCGGGCTCAAACCCCGACCGACCGGAACAGCAACCCTCGGTTTGGGCGATCCCATCATTGGGTGGTGACGTCTTTCTTTCTCACGTTAATTCGAAGGCGACGCAAAACCATTCTCTTTTTCGAAAAGTGTAAAGAAAGTCTCTCCGTTGATATTGTCCACCTCTACTTCTACCAACACATCACCAGCCACAAGTGACATATATCATACATAAATAGACCGATAGCGGACGCCAGTGGTGCCACTTTACGCTGACGTCTTATTGTACTGTTAATAGAAAGATTTACAATCACGTTTACCGCAAACTGCTAAACGTCAATTTGAACCACGTGACCAAGATTTATTCTTAACATGTCCTTTACACATGAAAAAGGAGTTTCATGTCAAGTTCATGGATCTAACTTGGATCTAAGGTGTAAGTTTTGTGGTAAAATTCATTATAAATCCCTCCGTGATATATCACCTAAAGAAGACACAAAATGTTGTCTAATCCGTCACCTTCGAAATTATTTGCCAACCTTTTCGTTTACTCTGCAGGAGTCAAGTTGTAACTGTAATTTTTGTGTCTAATATATGATAGCAATACTTTGTTTCGTATCACTCTGCAGGTATTTTTGGACCGCTTTGTCGAGCGTGAGATACAGTCACTGTTGGTCCATTGCATTCATCAAGAAGAAGGATGTGATTGGAAAGACGAGCTTAGAAAACGAGAGGTAACAACTAAGCTTCTATATGACGTTCAAATAAGTCATGATGTATACCCACTTCCAGCCCTACTGACAAGGGCGGTCCCAGTCAGGTTAATCTGTAGCCGTGAAACACTGAAAAGCGGTCACTCGTGAGGCAAAAAATATATTTAAACATTTTTACCGTACACCTTGTCATGAAAGTGCCAAGATTGCTTTAGAAGATTTTTCGTCTTGTCTTGGGGCTATTCATTCTATTATGGTGCTAAACAGACCACCTATCTTTAACTGTTGAGATAGACCCTCTGTGATGCCCATGCTCGTATCAGCTGGATTATCTACGAAATATGTAGAGATGTAGATATAATAGACGAGATAAAGGAGTTTTCAATTAGGCCGAAGTAGTTTAGTGTGCAAGATTTACTCCGTGTTTTGGCGCAGGAATCTCACCCGCGGGTGTAAGAACATTATCGGAGTAATGAACAATCTTCAATTTGGCCAAAGAAGTTTAGGGCGTATAATTTAATCCTTGTTTTGGAACAGGAATCTTATCAACGTGTGTCAAAATATTATCAGAGTAAAGCGATTTCAAATTTGGCCTAAGTAGTATAGTTCTTTTTCAACATGCTAATGAAGTCTCAGCCAATACTGAATAAGAGAATACAAAACAAAATTACTGTAATCGCGCGCGTCTTTCTCTTATCGGTTTTGGCAACAAAACACTTCCTCTTAGTTCTAGTTATCCTAGCTGGACAGTTGCCGATTCTAAAACACAGTTCCTAGCGTATTGTTTTAAATTATCGTTATTATTATCTCGTCCATTATTGTCATAATTGTCAATTACGTGTTCTCGTGTGTCAGGATCACGAGACTGTGTGTGAGTACGTTCAAGTTCCATGCGTGCATTCAGGATGCGGTGAACTGGTGACTAGATCAAGTCTGGTAGAGCATCTTGAGAAGTGGTGTCAATTCAGAATGGAAAAATGTGACTACTGCCAAACTCTTGTAGAGTTTGCATTTTTGAAGGTAACAATAACCCCCGCAAAATTTGTTTTTTACCCCTGAGTTGTCGTTATTCGGGATACGATCCTTTTAATACGTTACTTTAAGCCTTAAAGTATACTTTGCAACAATAAATTTCCTTGTTTTTATATACTTCATGGTATTAACGTCTTTAAGGACCACTCATGTTTAATTTCCCTTTCTTCTGACTCTCATTGACTTTTTGCACATTTCTTCATTCCTCTAACCCGCTAACAACACAAATCACCAGAAATCGGTGCCGGTATTAAGTCTCATAAACAAGAGATCTTTTCTTCTTAATTCAATACCCAGTCGGCCTGGATACTTTGTTTACAGTGACCTCTAAACTAGTGACTATTAAAATTCATTACGCACAGGATCACCAGGACTCTCAGTGTCCCTCCGTCCCTGTGGCTTGCACAGAATGTGGAAGAAAGGACATACCTCGTTCTCAGGTGAGCAAACCGATGTTCACGAGCACCTTCTGCCCATCAAGCCAACCGAAAACCAGACAACACCAAAAACGGTGCACTTGACTGCTGTACCTGAGTCTAAATTCATTCTCTTTCCTGTTCCGATAGGTTTTTTTTCCTGATACTCTGTATTAGCAAGCTCCAGTTCGAAAAAAAATCCAAATTCCAATTTGATTTGCATGGAACGCAAGCACTTGTATAAACGGTTTCTTAAAGGCCCATGTTCACCCTAGATGCATTGCGCGCCCTGTACTCCAGAAAAAACATTTCGCGTAGTTGAAAATCGCTGCCTTTAGTGTGTAAAGTCAATCTTTGTTAATCTTCTACAGTTCGCTAAATCTGGTTTAAAAGAAGGTCTCAACAAGTTCTTTTGGTATTTTTCTTTACATCTTTTTGGATATTTTGGAATGGTATCGAGCCTTTTTGTTTCTGTGAGTGTTTGCTTCACTGCAGCACTTTCGATGGCGGCTCCATCGAAACGAACGGTTGGAAGCATGGTTGGAAGACCGCGTCGACGGGCGTCGCCGAAGTACATTCGTCTCCGTGAATCCGCTTTTTTTATCCCTGGAGAGATGGGAAAGAAACTCTTGGCTGTAAATTCTACAGACAGCGTGTTTGCCGAGTTCCTTCTACATCGAATGTTCAATTGTAAACCATATTGCCTTGTAAACAAAGGTCCCGTTGAAATCAGTTGAAAGCAAAACAAGCGAGTCAATCTAACATGAACAATGCTTTATTTAATTTAACCTATGAAGCGAGTGATATCCTTAACGTAAACTTATCGTCTGGCGTATCACGATTAAAGGCGGCTCTAAAGTAGCGAGAACTCTTATTAGCAAACCAATCCTTAGCAAAACCTAAAGAAAGTGTAATACAGCGATTACAGCGATTACAGACTGTATGCAGTGCTGATTCGGCGCTTTGCAAACACAACTTCTCGCTTATTCTTTCGAGAACACATACCTAAAAGCTTCCTAAGAATCAACACAAAATAATAGATTGAGGAATCAAAACATTTCACAGTCGAATCGGACTTCAGGAAAACCTCACCTGGTGCTTAGACGTTTCGTAATTTATGACCTTCATTGTGTTCATCGGACTCAACAAGGCATCCATATGCATTCACTACCAGTTTAAATTTTGAGGTGCTTTCTGCGGTGACATTTAACGAAGTCGGCGATATATCTTCCTCCATTTGGAAAAGAATTAAAAGTCTTACTGGCCTCTTTGATACTGTCTCTCTAAGCTTCGGTCAAGCGTGAAAAAAGCTGCAATTGTAGTCTCCCTCGCAGTCGTTTTTAGTATCGTCACGCAACGCTCCTCAAAGTGGAAGCCAATCAAAACACTGCATTTGACAAAAGAATCGTTTCAAAACAAAAACACAAGCGCGCAAAGCCGTTTGGGTGAACATGGGCCTTTAACGGCTAGCTCCTAGATGACTCGTGTGTGAAAAATATAAAAATTCACATTTTACATTAACTATACATATACGTATAGTTATAATGAAAAAGAAAAAAAACGTTCGAGATTTAACTTCGCTCGCTATATTTATTACATCAGATGCCTGCCCATATTGATCCGGTAAATGGAGACTGTGAAGAATTACAATCAAGTTGTCCATGGGCACAAATTGGATGCCCTGTGTCAAAGGTATGCAAATACTTAAGACTACTTAATGCAAAAGGGCAATCATTTGGTAATCTGTGGGTGGGCTGCGTGTTAATCAACGCTTCTCAGCGTTAATACACTATTTCGTTTTCGTTTTCTTTAGACTATGAAGCTGCAAGAACGAAGGAAACATGAGGACGAAAATGCTTCCGGTCACTTGATGCTCCTTTTTCGGACCGTAATGAAGCTCTTCTCGATGGTTGGTAGGACCATGCGGGAATCTGGACACGTGTCAATGAATGGCGTAGATCTACCAAAACAGAAAGATTTGGAACGCTATGCTAAACAAGTTGAGAATATACTGAAAGAAAATGAAGAACTCAAATCAAAACTGGTTCAACAAGAAGAAAGAATAAGGCAACTGGAAAGTTCTAGACAGAACAGGTCAAACTCAGCATCGGCATTTGATCCAACGTTCGCCAAAGAGCTTTTACAGAGGTTAACTACAGAAGAGGGAAAGACGACCAATCTCGAGCTTTTGCTCGTTGAAGCAAACAGATTAAATGAAGAACTTCAGAGAAAGGTGTCTACCGTAGCCAGGCAACAGGAGTCTTCGAATGGAACAATTGATCGGCTACAAAGACAGTTCGAGTCCATGAGTCACTCACTAGCACTTCGTAATGTTATGCTGACAGATTTGGACGAATCTGTGAGGCAACAGGAAGTCTCCAGTCACGATGGAATCATGCTTTGGAAAATCACCGAGTTCCCTAAAAAACGGCAAGATGCCGTCTCCGGGCAACAGACGTCATTTTACAGCCCGTGCTTCTTTACCAGTCGCTATGGATACAAGATGTGTGCGCGCATCTATTTAAATGGTGATGGTATTGGAAGAGGGACACACATCTCGGTATTCTTTGTTGTCATGAGAGGTGAGTACGATGCGTTACTCCGCTGGCCATTCAGACAGAAGGTAACGTTCATGCTGCTGGATCAGAATAACGTAGAACACGTAATCGACTCCTTCAGGCCTGATCCAAACAGCTCATCCTTCCAGAGACCAAGAAGAGAAACAAACATCGCTAGTGGGTGCCCTACATTCTGTCCTTTGTCGGAATTAAACGATCATGCCTACGTCAGAGACGATACTATGTTTCTGAAGGTTATAGTCGATACGACGGATTTATAACACTGATTTTAGAAGCCTGCTCCAATATTTCAGGTCATCGAAGCATCACTGAGCAAAGCGAGAGCGAGAAAAACGGCACGAGACTCAGGATAGATAGGCTTACGCGGGTTAAAGTTGATGCTAACACGGGCTCAAATGAGCGCAACGTTTCAATCTCGCTCCAAGAATCCTCTCTTGATAGCACCTTCCCTTAATTAGTTTCGGTTTCAAAAAAAATCTGGTTTTCGGACTCTGGAGGAAGTGAAGCTAGCGGGAGACTGGGGAGGGAAAGGACGGGGAACTCGGGCAACAATTAATCTCGATCTGGCATGCATTCTTCTATTTAGGACATTGTATAAGGATATAATACTGACTTTGTCTATTTTATAATAGACGTATAGTCTTACCTGGTTGAGTTCTAACACAGGTAGTTTTTATATATGGGTTATCTCACCATTAGGAGTTTTAAAAACTTTCATACGTAACGAACAAAAAAGAAGGAAACAACAACAACAACAAAAATACTAAAGAGAAGAAACATGCAGAAGTTGATAATGACCTGTAATAACCGAATTAATAGTGAACTATGAGACGGTATAGGCAACTTTGGATTTGAAACGATTTGGAGACCTTTTTTACAATTTGGAGACTTACATCCTGAGTGGACAAACAACTTGAAAGTACGTCATGCTCACAGTGAGCTATGGTAATCGTGTCGTGTATATTCACTGAGAAAAGTATATTTCTATATTTAATCTGTTAGACTATATATAGAAGGCATAATTATTAGAGGGGGTTTTACTCCGGGTGCTCCGGTTTCCCCCTGATAGTTCAAATCATGTCTTTATGGAATTGCTACCGATGAAAAAGAAGAGTAAAAAGTTAATTATTTGATATTCAGACTGGACTTGTCCTAGAAAGAAATCAAGAGAATCGATGAACTGAAAAACACAGTGAAACTTGGATGCCAGAGGCATGCAATGGAAACTAAGACCAATGCTATTATTTATTATAAAATTATCCCGCCTTTGTGATATCCCGTTTAACAGGCTGTAAACAGATCCAACTCACCAGCCGATGTTACAGTAGTGTTGTCTCAAATGATATGATGATTATGTTTCCTCATAGGTAGTGTTATATGTAGAAATTTTCAAATTTTTTAAATGCTATTCTAAAAAAAATACCATAGTTAACGGACAAACACTAAGAAATGAAAAGACATGCAGAAGTTGACAGAGACATGTAATTAATATACCAACAATGAAATATGAGGCAGTATAGGCAACTTCGGAATTTTTTCACGATTTGGACGTGTGGACACACAACTTGTGAATCATAGTTGCAATGAGTTATGGTAGTCCGAGTCGTGTATGTTCACCTAGATGAGTTAGTATATTTTATTTTATCAATTGAACTTGTAAGTGCTACTTAAGTTAATAATTTAACAGAATTCAGTAAGTAAAACTGTGGGGATCAGAAAAACGACACGAAGTGTCACGTCTGGATGGATTTTTGATATAACAAAAAGCTTTTCTTAACTGAGAAAGGAATATAGGGTAGACGGTAAGAATAAACTAATTGTAACTGTGAGATTTTTTTATTAAAACAAGTCATGCGAGGCCGGGTCTAAGTTGCTCTGCAATGTTATGCCATAGGGATTGAAGAACTTTTTAAAAATTGAAATGATTAATTATGCTTCATGTTCCTTTACATATTACGAGAGTTATTGATGTTGGCGGAGTCTCGGAAAATACTCTTGCTATACTAGTTCAAAGGTCGTTGTTTTAGCCATTACAAAATAATAATAAATAAAATAGACCGTAGGGAAATTTATCTACAAAAATGGAAAATTAAATTTCACCGTTCTGAATTTCTCACAAGAACAGGTGTTCATAATTCAGTGTGTTATGGCAATATTGTGACCATGACATCATCACATAAGCATTCCAAGCAGATGTTGTACATAGTAGATGTTCGAGTAGAACAGCTTTTCAGTTAATATGTGACATTTGCATAGAGTCCGTCCGGATATCCTGCCCTGGCAGCTGAGCAAGATGGCACCTGGCATAGAATTAATATCACTTATTAAAAATTTAGGAATAAAATTGTGTAAACAATTTTTAAAAAGTAAAACAAACTAAAAGACACATTTTCAGAAAAAAAAGGTGGACTTGTGAAGAAAATACCCATCCGAGTTTCAGTAAATCTCAGCCGGAAGCTCACTCTGACTATAAGCCAAGAGGTTGTATTAACTTGATATTGCTTGAATCGCAAATGTTATCAGATTTAAAGGTTTCATCCTACTTTGTTCTTAAAAGCAAATCATAAGAATAAGTTAGGCACGCTCACTACACTGAGGACGAAAGAACGAAGCAAAAAACTTCTTTACAGAGGCCAGTTTACCTTTTCCCAACTCAGCTGATGTTAAATGGTGTCAAATGTACATGTCTAACTTAATTCCAAACCTATTTTACTTTTTTCTTTTGGTTTTTTTTAATTTCTTGGACTTTTTGACAACGTTAGTGCAATTAGGTTTATGTTGTCACTGGTAAAATACCACAACTGTTTTATTACAATCTTTCTAAGGGAGAAAACAGGAAAGACTTACCGATACGAACACTACTTGCAGTTAAGACATGCTCATAGACCCTCCCTTTTATGTAGTAAACTGCACGCGCCTCCTAAATCCACGATCCCTCATTAAATATCAGTCCCCCGAAGAAACTGACGAGAGCCGGCTTTTATGTAAAGTCAATCATAAAAAGAATTAATTAATCTTATCCTTACTCCGAGACGTCGTCGTTCATCATGTTGCACTGGGAGACGCCGACGCTCGAACCGTCTTGGTGTTCCTTCTTCTGCATTGCTCCTTCTATCCGCTTCAATTTCCAGTCTCTGTCCTCTGTTTACTCTTTGTTGTTCTTCCCTTGTCGCGCTCTCTACGAGGAAAGCTCTGTGCTCACGGCAGGTTGCTGTAAGAGCCAAGTACATTTTGAAAACACAGAGCAGTACGATCAGCATCACGATAAATGAGGCGACGCCATAAATATGCTCGAACATCATTGCTATGTTTCTGGCGGTCAGTGAAGCAACGGGATGAATGAGAAATAAACTTGCTTGAGAAACTTGGTTTGTTTGTAGTGCTTGAAAGGTCAGGCTGTAGCTCCTTGTCGTGACTGCTCAGTCATTTTCACGGATTCNCTTCTCTAAACTGAACGGGGCAAGTTATAAAACCAATTCAAAACTTAACGGATCGATGGTTTATTGTCTAGGTGCGTGTTCCTTTTCCTGTTCTGTCAAATACCAAAATTATGCCGTCACTTTCAGCTTTTCATTTGCAAACCAAAGTGAGTTAACGGTTCAAAAGAAATTACTTTGATTTAATCATGTGTAAATTCACGCCTGAGAGCTTAAGAATAGACAGAACTCATACTTCACTGAAGGCACGTTCAGTATAATCAGTAGTGTTGAGTTCTGTACATGTTGAACACGGCTCCTTTCTTAACATAGCAAGAACAAAACAAGATAAACATTGAGAGATTGTCTAAACGTTTTGCTTCAAAACTTTCCATTTAAATAGCCTGCAAAACCCTCAGCTTCGTCTGGTCCATAAAAACGGTGAAGGAAATAAAATGGGTTGTTTGAGCTTCACCTAAACGTTAAACCTTGTCTGGTTGAGTGCGTAAATTGGTACTTGAGAAAACATAATAAAAAGCAGAAAAGAGCTTTGAACATTTTATCACGTCTTGTTTGAAATAACTAAGTATAGACAATTGGAAAATTGTGGTCGACTTGCATGTCCACTCTACACGTAGGCGTATACCTGCTTTACCGAACAAAAGTATCAATCTCGGTAGCAAAACGCGCTTATAGCTTTCTAGTAATGGCGATGAGGCTTTCTAAAATGTAGCGACAAAAAACGAGAGAACGAGAGGAATGAGGACATATTTGCTGACAAACGCAAGAAATAATGTGACGTAATTTTAAAAATTTCCAAATCAAAATAACGCTCACTTTTCCGTTTTAAAATATGCTACAACCTCTTCACATTTATCTTCCAAATTTCGTTTAGAGCCCGCACTCACTTTAAAAGCTGTTCGGTGGTGCTCGTGAGATCGCAGAGGTACGTAAATGGTCGAGTTTTTCATGCTCTTTTTCTTGACTTGATATCTGCCGCGGCTACCCTAAACTCAGAAATATTGTGCCATACAGTTAATTTTAAGACGGGTAAATAAACGCTGTCACTGAAGTGAACGAGTTTTTAAAAGGGTAATCAGGTAATGAGTCCGTATTTTCTACTTTGGAGGAAAATAGAAGCAAAACAATTGAAATAATCAGTTACCCAATTTACTAAGCAGTGCCAATATTTAGCCTGAAAAATGTGTATTCAAGTTCGAATTTTGAGTTTCAAGCTAGTTGAATATTTCAGGTGTTATGACTTATTTGTCGCTAGCCTTATTAAAGCCGATATTTTGCGACGCCAACCATTGCAATTGGTTAGCTATCAAGAGTAATGTGTATATGGAACTGCCACTTGAAGTTTCTTCCTTTTACAGAGTAATATCAGCCCTGAGGTTTTATTGGTCAACGTTTGTATGTGATACGATCACAGCAGTTAACTGGCCATTAATAGACAGAATAGAGAGCTTTAGATTCTACGACGAGAACGACTATACGAGTACGAGATTTTCTCAATACTATAGGAAAATTCATTACCTGACTCGTGAACTCCACGTTAAATTGCACCCGAAAACCGATATCGGTTTTCAAGTGCAATTTAACGTGGAATTCACGAGTCAGGTAATGGATTTTCCTTGAATCGCATAATTGAATAAAAATCAGAAAAAAAAAAAAAGAAAACAGGAATAGTATTGATTGTTTTTATCCTGAGCGCGTGCTCCAGAAATCCATTTCAGAGTCAGCTGTCAGAACTGTCATTGCGTTAGCGAATAGGAAGCAAGGTCAGTCGTACACGTTTGAACGTTCGACAACTTCTTGTGTACCTTGTGCTTGTTTTTACATTTGTTTTCAAACTTTTTTACATGAAAACAGGCTTCACACTAATCGTAAGGATAAACAGAGGTATTTCACTGAATTTACAAGCCGTTTATCTATAACATCTTTTTTCAAATTGGTCATTTGCTCGAGAAGGAAAATAATTTACACCTTTTACCTCTTCGGTGGCAAAACTGAAAGAAATGAAGTGTCCAAGCAAAAGTACTGAAAGTTTAACGTCGCGATTGATTGATTGATTGATTATAATGTAGGTACCTTGAAATGTTTTAGAAATGCTGTTCAAGTTCAGCTCTGTTTTGTACTTTTCTAAGTACCACGATTCAGGACGATTGCAAGCGGCGTACTCTTTTTCCTGTTTTCAGGGGCCATGTCGTCTTTGAAGGTATTCATTTCTTCTTTTGTACATGTGACAATCGACCCTGGCACTTCCTCCGTCGTCGCTTCTCCGTTTTGTTTGGTTGAACTTTGGCTTGCTATTTTCTGGGTCGTGTTCACAGGATTTTCTTGTTTTCTCGTTGTCGCAAGCGAAAGAGGTTTTTTATGCCTCTCCAAGAATTTGTAGTTCAGTTCAAAACAGGAAGAACCTCCGGCTCACTTTAAAAAAACGCTCTTGTTCTTTTTTATCTCTTCAAAAGGTGACAATGGTTTTGGAAACATTTTAAAATGACATTGTAGAAAACCTTTTTTGCAGTTGTTGTGTTAGAATTTGACGATAGTTGTTACGTAGATGCGAAACAATAACGCTTAGCCTCGTTTTTAACTCGCAATTCCCTACCAAATACCTAGCTTCGTTAACCAATCAGAATGCCAGATTTTACTCAGTTATGCGATTCTAAGTAGTACATGCGCGTAAAGCAGCGTGATTTTGGCGGGAAAACGTGGTAGCCTTCGTCATTCTACTACGAGTTTTAGCGAGAATATGTCGTAGCGGCGGAAACGAGTTATCAAATGTTAGAAGTTTTAGCATTTTGCGATCAGGAGAGCGCGTAACCTCCTTCACTAATGGTAACAGTGCTTACTTTTCTGGTGAAAGAAAGTACAATGAAGAATTCCGGGGTGTCTATTTTTTGACAATACGCGAAAAAACTTAAAATCAAATCTCTCGTAGTCGTTCTCGTCCTCGAATCTAAAGGTCACCAATGTGCACGGCAAAAAAGCGTGAGTTAGGGAGCAAGGAGTTATGGGAAGACGCTACATCGCGATCCTATTTCCAGTCTTTACAGAGTTGATGTGATGACTGTTCTCGTGCGCAGCGCATTATTAAGGCACATGGGAAGGAGATTGATCTGGCACATAAAAAAAGCAGATATGATGTTTGTCTAACTGACTTGTTGTTAGAACTCGAGTGTTTGATTCCGAAGTTAACTTACTGCGCTTTTCACAAACATGCGAATTCTGAAGTTCAAAAGCCAACTGACCTTTGCTTTTTTCGCTGCCCTCAATCATCTTGACGGACCTCTTAGGCAACAAAACTTTACTTTAACGGATTCAAAAGGTCATGGTTTGTGATTTGTGATTGGTGGATTTCGATCCGTTTTGTGTGTTTCTGTGTTTCAAGGTTCGTTGCTTGTGATCGTAATTATGACTGACGGCAGCGAAAAACGCAATTGTGAAGGTGGCTTTTGAACTTTAGAGTTCGCATGTTTGTGAAAAGCGCAGTAAAAGTGTCCTTCCGTAGTAATCGGCAAATAGTTGATCTGCCAGTTCGACATCGTTTAACATCAAACTAAGCAAAATATTTGTTTGTTGTTCGAGTTGTTTTTCAAGTAACTGCAGCAAGTAATTTTGTTTCTACTTTTAGGCCTACAATGCCTGGATATGAGTTATCTTCCGCGGACCGATTAGTAATCGACAAAAAAAAATTATGCCCTAAATGTGAGGGCCTTCTTAGAGAAGCTGTGCAAACAATAGCATGTGGTCATAGGTACTGCAAAACATGCGTGGAAACGATTCTTTGGTAAGTACGTCGTGTGCGTCGTCATGTCCTAGACAGCTGAAATATCCTTAGCCTACCTCTTAAAGTAAGTAGTTAACTGAAGACAAAAGCTGATAAATGACTGGTATAATGCGAATAGCTACGATCGCTGTCGATAACTGCGTGGCTAATGTGGTGCAGATAAATGGTAACTGTACTTCAAGCCCCTGGTTGTTCAAAAAGGTGGATAATGCTATCCACTGGATAAATCACTTTCCAGTGGAGAAAGCATTACGTTTCTCTATTACTTATCCAGTGGACAGTGATCTATCCGGTGGATAGCGTTATCCAACGTTTGATGAACTGGGACAGATGATAATAAATTTACTACAGTTAACTGGCAAACAAAAATCAGATAAATACCCGATAATCATGTATTCTTCGTATTACTGGTTGATACACATTGATCCCTGTCCCTAAATTTGCAGGCAAGAAGTTGGAAAGTGCATCATCGATGGATCAGATATTCATAGAGAACAGGTTTGCCTTTTTTTTCGATTAAGAGATTTATCGTTAGTGAAACCTTCGGAATACATTCTATAGCCTGGATCCAAACAGGCGCTCTATGAGCCAAGCGAGACGAAAGCCGCCTTTCTTGTGTGGTTATTTTAGGGTCTGTTTACATGGAGGTGCGGGACCCCAGATAGGTGAGGTAACACGTGGCGGGTCACCCCACCTATAGCGTAAACGTGATAAAATTAATATGAGAGATTATATAGACAGGCGGGTTACCTCACCTACCTGGGGTCCCCCACCTCCATGTAAACAGTCCCTTAGTCAGAGAGTCTTCGTACGTAGAGTCTTAGTACGTATACCTTTTATCGCGCGCCACCCGGTTCCGTGATGCTGCATCCTCATGCATCCCCCCGCTCACCCCCTCCCCCCAACCCATTTTGATCCATTTCGATAATCTCAGTTGGAAGAGCGCTTGAATTCTGAGCGGGAGGCCCCGGGCTCAAACCCCGACCGACCCGAACAACAACCCTCGGTTTGGGCGATCCCATCATTGGGCGGTGACGTCCTTCTTTCTCACGTTAATTCGAAGGCGACGCAAAACCATTCTCTTGTTCGAAAAGGGTAAAGAAAGTCTCTCCGTTGATATGGTCCACCTTTACTTCTACCAACACATCACCAGCCACAAGTTACATATATCATACATAAATAGACCGATACCAGACGCCAGTGGTGCCACTTTACGCTGACGTCCTATTGTACTCTTAATAGAAAGATTTACAATCACGTTTACCGCAGACTGCTAAACGTCAATTTGAACCACGTGACCAAGATTTATTCTTAACATGTCATTTACACATGAAAAAGGAGTTTCATGTCAAGTTCATGGATCTAACTTGGATCTAAGGTTTAAGTTTTGTGGTAAAATTCATTATAAATCCCTCTGTGATATATTACCTAAAGAAGACACAAAATGTTGTCTAATCCGTCACCTTCGAAAATATTTGCCAACCTTTTCGTTTACTCTGCATGAGTCAAGTAGTAACTGTTGTTTTTGAGTCTAATGTATGATAGCAATACTTTGTTTCGTATCACTCTGCAGGTATTTTTGGACCGCTTTGTTGAGCGTGAGATACAGTCACTGTTGGTCCATTGCATTCATCAAGAAGAAGGATGTGATTGGAAAGACGAGCTTAGAAAACGAGAGGTAACAACTAAGCTTCTACATGATGTTCAAATAAGTCATGATGCACACTGAGAAGGGCGCTCCCAGTCGGGTTAATCTTTGGCCGTGAAACACTGAAACAGGGTCACTCGTGAGGCAAAAAATATATTTAAACATTTTTAACGTACATCCTGTCATGAAAGTACCAAGATTGCTTTAGAAGATTTTTCGTCTTCTCTTGGGGCTATTCATTCTATTATGGTGCTTTAATAGACCCTCTGTGATGCCCATGCTCGTATCAGCTGGATTATCTGCGAAATATGTAGAGATGTAGATATAATAGACGAGATAAAGAAGTTTTCAATTAGACCGAGCGTGTAAGAACATTATCGGAGTAATGAACAATCTTCAATTTGGCCAAAGAAGTTTAGGGCGCATAATTTAATCCTCGTTTTGGAACAGGAATGTTATCAACGTGTGTCAGAATATTATCAGAGTAAAGCGATTTCAAATTTGGCCTAAGTAGTATAGTTCTTTTCCAACATGCTAATGAAGTCTCAGCCAATACTGAATAAGAGAATACAAAACAAAATTATTGTAATCGCGCGCGTCTTTCTTTTATCGGTTTTGGCAACAAAACATTTCCTTTAGTTCCAGTGATCCTAGCTGGACAGTTGTCGATTCTAAAACACAATTCCTAGTGTATTGTTTTAAATTATCGTTTATATTATCTCGTTCATTATTGTCATAATTGTCATGCAGATCAATTACGTGTTCTCGCATGCTAGGATCACGAAGCTGTGTGTGTATACGTTCAAGTTCCATGCGTTCATTCAGAATGCGGTGAACTGGTGACTAGAGCAAATCTGGTGGAGCATCTTGAAAAGTCGTGTCAATTCAGAATGGAAAAATGTGACCACTGCCAGACACTTGTAGAGTTTGCATTTTTGAAGGTAACAATAACCCTCATAAAATTTGTTTTTTATCCCTAAGTTGTCGTGATTTGGGATACGATCCTTTTACTACGTTACTTTAAGCCTTAAAGTATACTTTTACGTCTTCCTTTGCAACAATAAATTTCCTTGTTTTGAGATATATAATTCTTTGTTATTAACGTCTTTAGGGACCACTCATTTTTAATTTCCCTTTTTTCTCACTCTTGTTGACTTTTTGCACATTTCTTCATTCCTCTAACCCGCTAACAACACAGATCACCAGAAATCGGTGCCGGTATTAAGTCTCATAAACAAGAGATCTTTTCTTCTTAATTCAATACCCAGCCAGCCTGGATACTTTGTTCGCAGTGACGGCTCTAAACTAGTGACTATTAAAATTCATTATGCACAGGATCACCAGGACTCTCAGTGTCCCTCCGTCTCTGTGGCTTGCACAGAATGTGGAAGAAAGGACATTCCTCGTTCTCAGGTGAGCAAACTGATGTTCACGAGCACTTTCTGCCCGTCAAACCAACCGAAAACCCGACAAAACCAAAAACGGTGCACTTGAATGCTGTACCTGAGTCTAAATTCATTCTCTTTCTTGCTTCGATAGGTCTTTTTTCCCTGGTACTCTGTATTAGCAAGCTCCAGCTCGAAAAAAAATCCAAATACCAATTTGATTTGCATGGAACGCAAGCACTTGTATAAACGATTTCTTAACGGCTAGCTCCTAGATGTTTCGAGGGTGACAAATTTAAAAATTCACATTTTACATTGACTATACATATACTTATAGTTATAATGAAAAAAAAAAAAAAACGTTCGAGATTTAACTTCGGTAGCTATATTTATTACATCAGATGCCTGCCCATATTGATCCGGTAAATGGAGACTGAGGAAATACAATCAAGTTGTCCCTGGGCACAAATTGGATGCCCTGTGACAAAGGTATGCAAATACTTAAGATTACTTACGCAAACAGCAATCATTTGGTAATCTGTGGGTGGGTTACGTGTTTATGAACGCTTCTCAGCATTAATACACTATGTCGTTTTCGTTTTCTTTAGACTATGAAGCTGCAAGAACGAAGGAAGCATAAAGAGGAAAATGCTTCCGGTCACTTGATGCTCCTATTTCAGACCGTAATGCAGCTCTTCTCGATGGTGCGGGAATCTGGTCTTGTGTCAATGAATAGCGTAAATCTACCAAAACAGAAAGATTTGGAACGCCATGCTAAACAAGTTGAGAATATACTGAAAAAAAATGAAGAACTAAAATCAAAACTGGTTCAACAAGAAGAAAGAATACGGCAACTGGAAAGTTCTAGACAGAATAGCTCAAACTCAGCATCAGCATTTGATCCAACGTTTGTCAAGGAGCTTTTACAGAGGTTAACTACAGAAGAAGGAAAGACGGCCAATCTTGAACTTTTGCTCGTTGAAGCAAACAGATTAAATGAAGAACTACAGAGAAAAGTGTCTACCGTAGCCAGGCAACAGGAGTCTTCGAGTGGAACAACCGATCGACTACAGAGACAGTTCGAGTCCATGAGTCACTCACTAGCACTTCGTAATGTTATGCTGACAGATTTGGACGAATACGTGAGGCAGCAGGAAGNAATGAGTTATGGTAGTCCGAGTCGTGTATGTTCACCTAGATGAGTTAGTATATTTTATTTTATCAATTGAACTTGTAAGTGCTACTTAAGTTAATAATTTAACAGAGTTCAGTAAGTAAAACTGTGGGGATGAGAAAACGACACGAAATGTCACGTTTGAATGGATTTTTGATACACCAAAAAGCTTTTCTTAACTGAGAAAAGAATATTGGATCGATGGTAAGAATAATTTAATTGTAATTGTGAGATTTTTTTTATTAAAACAAGTCATGCGAGGCCGGGTCTAAGTTGTTCTGCAATGTAAACATGCCTAAGGGATTGAAGAACTTTTTAAAAATTGAAATGATTAATTATGCTTCATGTTCCTTTACATAATTACGAGAGTTATTGATGTTGGCGGAGTCTCGAGAAATACTGTTGCTATACTAGTTCGAAGGTCTTTGTTTTAGCAATTAAAAAAAATAATAATAAAAAAAATTGACCGTAGGGAAATTTATCTACAAAAATGGAAAATTAAATTTCACCGTTCTGAATTTCTCACAAGAACAGGTGTTCATCATTCAATGTGTTATGGCAATATTGTGACCATGACATCATCACATAAGCACTCCAAGCAGATGTTGTACATAGTATATGTTCGAGTAGAACAGCTTTTAGTTAATATGTGACATTTGCATAGAGTCCGTCCGGAATCCTGCCCTGGCAGCTGAGCAAGATGGCACCTGGCATAGAAGTAATATCACTTATTAAAAATTTAGGAATAAAATTGAGTAAACTATTTTTAAAAAGTAAAACAAACTAAAAGACACATTTTCCGAAAAAAAGGTTGACTTGTGAAGAAAATACCCATCCGAGTTTCAGTAAATCTTAGTCGGAAGCTCACTCTGACTATAAACCAAGAGTTTTTTTAACTTGATATTGCTTGAATCGCAAAAGTTATCAGATTTAAAGGTTTCAATTCCTACTTTGTTGTTAAAAGCAAATCATAAGAATAAATTAGGGACGCTCACTACACTGAGGACGAAAGAACGAAGCAAAAAACATCTTTACAGAGGCCAGTTTACCTTTTCCCAACTCAGCTGATGTTAAATGGTGTCAAATGTACATGTCTAACTTAATCCAAACCTATTTTACTTTTTCCTTTTGGTTTTTTCTTGGACTTTTTGACAACGTTAGTGCAATTAGGTTTATGTTGTCACTGGTAAAATACCACAACTGTTTTATTACAATCTTTCTAAAGGAGAAAACAGGAAAGACTTCCCTATACAAACACTACTTGCAGTTAAGACATGCTCATAGATCCTTCCTTTTATGTAGTAAAAAAAAAAAAAAAACTGCATGCGCCTCCTAAATCGACGATCCCTCATTAAATATCAGTCCCCCGAAGGAACTGACGAGAGCCGGCTTTTATTTAAAGTCAATCATAAAAAGAATTAATTAATCTTGTACTTACTCCGAGACACCGTCGTTCATCATGTTGCACTGGGAGACGCCGACGCTCGAACCTTCTTGGTATTCCTTCTTCTGCATTGCTCCTTCTATCCCCTTCAATTTCCAGTCTCTGTGCTCTGTTTACTCTTTGTTGTTCTTCCCTTGTCGCGCTCTCTACGAGGAAAGCTCTGTGCTCACGGCAGGTTGCTGTAAGAGCCAAGTACATTTTGAAAACACAGAGCAGTACGATCAGCATCACGATAAATACAAGAAGAGAAACAAACATCGCTAGTGGGTGCCCTACATTCTGTCCCTTGTCGGAGTTAAACGATCATGCCTACGTCCGAGACGATACTATGTTTCTGAAGGTCATAGTCGATACGACGGATTTATAACACTGATTTTAGAAGCCTGCTCCAATATTTCAGATCATCGAAGCATCACTGAGCACAGCGAGAGCGAGGAAAACGGCACGAGACTCAGGATAGATAGGCTTACGCTGGTTAAAGTTGATGCTAACACGGGCTCAAATAAGCGCAACGTTTCAATCTCGCTCCAAGAATCCTCTCTTGATAGCACCTTCCCTTAATTGGTTTCGGTTTCAGAAAAATAAAATCAGATTTTCGGACTCTCGAGGCAGTGAAGCTAGCGGGAGACTGGGGAGGGAAAGGACGGGGAACTCGGGCAACAATTAATCTCGATCTGGCATGCATTCTTCTATTTAGGACATTGTATAACGATATAATACTGACTTTGTCTATTTTATAGACGTATAGTCATACCTGGTTAAGTTCTAACACAGGTAGTTTTTATATATGGGTTATCTCACCATTAGGAGTTTTAAAAAATTTTATACATAATTTTGTTTAGAAAGAATATTTTTACGAACAAACAAGAAGGAAACAACAACAACAACAAAAAATACTAAATAGAAGAAACATGCAGAAGTTGATAATGACTTGAAATTACCGAATTAATAGTGAACTATGAGACAGTATAGGCAACTTTGGATTTGAAACGATTTGGAGACCTTTTTTTACAATTTGGAGACTTACATTATGAGTGGACAAACAACTTGAAAGTAAGTCATACTTACTGTGAGCTATGGTAATCGAGTCGTGTATGTTCACCGAGAAAAGTATATTTCTATATTTCATCTGTTAGACTATATATAGAAGGCATATTAGGGGGGGTTTTACTCCGGGTGCTCCGGTTTCCCCCTGTTAGTTCAAATCATATCTTTATGGAAGTGCTACCGATGAAAAAGAAATAGAAAAAGTGAATTATTTGATATTCAAAATGGACTTGTCCTAGTAATAAATGAAGAGACTCGATGAACTGAAAAACACAGTGAAACTTGGATGCCAGAGGCATGCAATGGAAACTAAGACCAATGCTATTATTTATTAAAAAATTATCCCGCCTTTGTGATAGCGCGTTTAAGAGGATGTTAACAGATCCAAGACTCACCAGCCCACGTTACAGTCATGTGATCTCAAATGATATTGCCATCATGTTTCCTCATAGGTAGTGTTATATGTAGAAATTTTCAAATTTTTTAAATGCTATTTTTAAAAAAATACTTTAGTTAACGGACAAACACTAAGAAATGAAAAAACATGCTGACGTTGACAGAGACACGTAATACCCCAACAATGAAATATGAGGCAGTATAGGCAACTTCGGAATTTATTCACGATTTTGACGTTTAAGTGGACACACAACTGGTGAAGTCATAGCTGGAATGAGTTATGGTAGTCCGAGTCGTGTATGTTCACCTAGATGAGTTAGTATATTTTATTTTATCAATTGAACTTGTAAGTGCTACTTAAGTTAATAATTTAACAGAGTTCAGTAAGTAAAACTGTGGGGATGAGAAAACGACACGAAATGTCACGTTTGAATGGATTTTTGATACACCAAAAAGCTTTTCTTAACTGAGAAAAGAATATTGGATCGATGGTAAGAATAATTTAATTGTAATTGTGAGATTTTTTTTATTAAAACAAGTCATGCGAGGCCGGGTCTAAGTTGTTCTGCAATGTAAACATGCCTAAGGGATTGAAGAACTTTTTAAAAATTGAAATGATTAATTATGCTTCATGTTCCTTTACATAATTACGAGAGTTATTGATGTTGGCGGAGTCTCGAGAAATACTGTTGCTATACTAGTTCGAAGGTCTTTGTTTTAGCAATTAAAAAAAATAATAATAAAAAAAATTGACCGTAGGGAAATTTATCTACAAAAATGGAAAATTAAATTTCACCGTTCTGAATTTCTCACAAGAACAGGTGTTCATCATTCAATGTGTTATGGCAATATTGTGACCATGACATCATCACATAAGCACTCCAAGCAGATGTTGTACATAGTAGATGTTCGAGTAGAACAGCTTTTAGTTAATATGTGACATTTGCATAGAGTCCGTCCGGAATCCTGCCCTGGCAGCTGAGCAAGATGGCACCTGGCATAGAAGTAATATCACTTATTAAAAATTTAGGAATAAAATTGAGTAAACTATTTTTAAAAAGTAAAACAAACTAAAAGACACATTTTCCGAAAAAAAGGTTGACTTGTGAAGAAAATACCCATCCGAGTTTCAGTAAATCTTAGTCGGAAGCTCACTCTGACTATAAACCAAGAGTTTTTTTAACTTGATATTGCTTGAATCGCAAAAGTTATCAGATTTAAAGGTTTCAATTCCTACTTTGTTGTTAAAAGCAAATCATAAGAATAAATTAGGGACGCTCACTACACTGAGGACGAAAGAACGAAGCAAAAAACATCTTTACAGAGGCCAGTTTACCTTTTCCCAACTCAGCTGATGTTAAATGGTGTCAAATGTACATGTCTAACTTAATCCAAACCTATTTTACTTTTTCCTTTTGGTTTTTTCTTGGACTTTTTGACAACGTTAGTGCAATTAGGTTTATGTTGTCACTGGTAAAATACCACAACTGTTTTATTACAATCTTTCTAAAGGAGAAAACAGGAAAGACTTCCCTATACAAACACTACTTGCAGTTAAGACATGCTCATAGATCCTTCCTTTTATGTAGTAAAAAAAAAAAAAAAA